TCCATGCCCCAAAGAAAATCAGGAAGCAATATTTGACCTCAGTCAAGAAGCCTCTGGAATCCCGCCCACCTCCATCAAACAAATGTTCCTCATCTGATGTGAACTCTTTCAATTACAAGCCTAAAAGAGACAAAGAAACCCCCACTACCACCTACTCCTGCTTCGATGAAACATTTAAAGATTTATTTATTTATTATGTATATAGTGTCCTGCCTGCATGTATGCCTGCAGGCCAGAAGAGGGCACCAGATCTCATTACAGATGGTTGTGAGCCACCATATGGTTGCTGGGAATTGAACTCAGGACCTCTGGAAGAGCAGCCAGTGCTCTTAACCTCTGAGCCATCTCTCCAGCCCCTCGATGAAACATTTAAAATGGTTGTTTCCGACATCCAGCTAAGCTGTCTGGTGATTAACAAATGGTCACCAAATCTGGACTGTGGCTTGTTTGTGGGCAATCTTTTGCTGGTCAGCCAGGCTCTACCTGTAACTCACTAGTAGACCAAGCCTGCCTTGAACTCATATTAGTCCACCTGCCTCCAGAGTGCAGCCTCCACCATGGCCAGCCTCAATTCTCTTAAAGGCAGCTTGCAGCACTGGGAAGACAATTTCAACTAAAGCCTTTGCCATTTGTTTCTATCTGAAGAATGGTCACAGGGCCGAGGCTGGACCTCATTTAGCAGAGCACTCACTCAGGGTTCAAGAAGCCTTGGGTTCACTCTCCAACACTGCATAAACTGGACATGTAGCTCATGCCCCTCATTCTAGCATTCCTAAGGTGCAGGCAGGAGGATCAAGAGTTCAAGGTTATTCTTTGCTACAGAGGGAGTTCAAGGTCAGCCCAGGCTACATGAGCTCCTACCCTCCCTTCTCTCCCTCCACAAAACCATCGCAAGCATTAACATCAAAAGATACACGCCTTTAATCCCACCACTCGGGAGGCAGAGCCAGGCAGATCTCTGTGAGTTCGAGGCCAAAATGGTCTACAGAGAGAGATCCAGGACAGGCACCAAAACTACATAGAGAAACCCTGTCTCAAAGAAAAAAAAAAAAAGATAACGTTTTTAATGATTTCAGAAACAGATACTGAGTAGTGAGAGCAACCCAACACCCCAGTTTTCCCACCTCAATAAACCCCTGCTGTGAGGGAGATGTTTCAACCTTCACACTGACATTTATCTCTTAGAGGCATTTCAAAGAAATTCTCTGACATATTTCCTAGATTTGGTAAACTTGGGTCACACTTTGGTATAGCCCAAACCCATTCTCTTCCTGGTTTTGGTTCCAAGTTCATAATCCAGATTAGACGCCAAGTACTTGAACTCTTCAAGACCAGGACTGTAGCTGTCCATTCTTCCCAAGATTCTCTCTGGTAACAGGTGTGTCAACCCACCCAAGACTCTACACAAAACTATCTTTTATGCTGTTGTTGTTCTTCTTGCTGTTGTTCCAACTAGAATTTTGGGTGTAGAAGTGGCTTTGGGGCTCCTATAACCCAGGAATTTCCATGCTCTCCTGCCAGAATTGAAGGCATAGTAAAGTCAACATGCCAAGCACTGAGAAGCCATTCACACGGCTTTCTTTCATTTTATTTACAGAATTCTGTAGTCTAGCTTATTCAATATTTGCATGCTTACTTTCCTATTAAAACAAGTTTTTAACTTCCATATTCCCTCAGAAAACTTAAGGCTATACAACATTTGTTTCATAATTTATGTTTATTTCTTAAGTCCAGGTTTATCACTTAGCCCTTCAGCCCTGTGCCAAAGGCAGCAATTTGGTGTTCTCCATTCCTCCTACAGGGAAAAAGCCTACCACCAAATATATTGGGCCACTCAACCAAGGAAGGACCTTGGAGGTAGACCAGATCTCTAGACACTGTTCAGGGGCTCATTACTCCTGTAGAGTCACAGTTCACAACCACTCACCATTCTAACTCATAAGGCCATGGTCAACTTTGTAATCTCCCCAAATACCTGCTACACACTGGGGTATGTTAAGATTGGTGAGCTTGCTCCCCAAGCTTGACCCAAGGTCTACAAGAGGGGGACTGATTCTTTACTATCACCCTATCACTAAAACTCTTCAGCCTTGAGAATATCTCTTCCCCAGCCATCACATATTTTGTTCCCATTCATTCCCACTTATAAAATTAAAAATATCATAAACTAGTCAGTGGATACAGTCAGGGAGCCAGTGTGACAGTAATCTTCCTGTTGCTATGGCAGACATCTGAGGTCAACAACTTACAAGGAGGCAATATTCATTTTGTTTCCTGGTTTTGAAGCATTCATCCCATGGTCTCTTAGCCCCACTATGTTGGACCTGTAGTAAGGCAGAACATGGCGGCAGGAAATGCGTGGTGGAGCAAACCTGTTCACCTCATGGTGGTTGGAAAATGATGAGCAAGAGAAGAGAGGCTGGAGTTCCAATCCCTCCTTCCTGCAATGACCTAACTTCTTTTCACTAAGGTCTGCCTCCTACAGTTCCTCCTACCTCCCAACAGTGCAAACGGCTCCCACCAAACCTGTAACACCCAAGGCCTCAGGAGACAGTACAGATTGAAACTCTAGAAGCCAGGAGCATCATCATCTACAGTGGCGGTAAAGACTAAAAACAAGACCAAGGCCACATCTGCTCAAAGGAGACCTCATCACAAACACAAGGCTCAAGTGAGAACTTCCCTAAGGAAAGCTTTTGAGCCAGGGCTAGCTACAGTAACTACTCTCCATGTTGTAGTCAATAGTAAAGATTCCTGGTACGTACTTCACATTCCAAAGTAAAACAGGGAAAGGGCCACACTAATAATGAAGTCATGTTTAGGAGCTATAAAAGGTGTCATATACACCTTCTAGTGGTGTGTGTGCTCATGCAGAGGGCATCTGTGAGCCACGGCATGCAGGTGTAAGTCAGAGGCCAACCTTGCCTGCTTGAGGTATGGTTTCCTGTTGTTTGCAGTTGCATTTTTCAGGCTAGTTGGCCCCCAGACTTCTGGAGATTCTTCTGTCTCTAGCTTCCACCTTGGTGTAGACTGTTAGTGTTACAGATGCATGCTACCATGTGTAGCTTTATGTGGGTTCTAGGGATCTGAACTCAGGTCTTCATGCTTGCATGACAAGCACGTTACCCATTGAGCCTTCTCTCCGAGTCAACATACACATCCTAACACAGTAGATCTAAACAGGGAGCAATTTCTATCTCTAGGGTACATGTGGCTACGTCCAGAGACAACTTTTGCTGTCGCAGCTGCAGGGAGCAAGGGTGTTATGTGGTGATATTGTGTTCCCCAAAATATTGTGCACCCTAATAAACTTATCTGGGGTCAGAGAACAGAACAGCCACTAGATATAGAGGCCAGAAAATGGTGGCACACACGCCTTTAATCCTCTGGATCTCTGTGAGTTCAAAGCCACATTGGAAACAGCTGGGCGTGGTAACAAGAGCCTTTAATCCCAGGAAGTGATGGCAGAAAGCAGAAAGGTATATAAGGCGTGAGGATAAGGAACTAGAGCTGGTTAAGCTTCTAGGTTTTTGAGCAACAGTACAGCTGAGATCCATTTGGATAAGGACACAGAGGCTTCCAGTCTGAGGAAACAGGATCAGCTGAGGAACTGGCGAGGTGAGGAAGCTGTGGCTTGTTCTGCTTCTCTGATCTTCCCGCATTCACCCCAATAACTGGCTCCAGGTTTGTTTTATTAATAAGACCCTTTTAAGATTCGTGCTACAGGTGTTATTGTCGTTTGTGTAGCAGAGGACAAAAATGCTGCTAACCACTCTACAGTGCAGAGGGCATCCTCCAGAGGGCATCCTCCAGAGGGCATCCTCCAGAGGGCATCCTCCACAGCAAGAACTGTTGTCTGACCTAAATGTCAATGGTACTGGAGGTGAGAAGCCTGAGTCGGACAGCACCAGGAAGAGATGGGAGCTGTAATCTTCCTGGCAGTGGCCTGCTTGGTCTGGGCATAGCTGAACTCCCTGGGTCCCACTAGAGGTAGAGAGGATGGCCTGTTTGAAGGACTTAAATCCATTCAATTGCGTCCAGTACCAATTCTCAAGCCTTCCAATTTGGTGGCTCCCTAGGTCTCAGGGGCACTTCCCAGTAAGCCTCTCAAAGCCCTTCAGCATTTGCCTGGGCAAAAAGAGCAATGTTGAAGGTGCTCACTGCTCCGCACTGCCACCCACCAAAGGACTCCCTTGGGGACTTCACAACCTCATTTTAATTCTAAAGCCCTATGATTCTAGTTAATCAACAAGAGCAGAGACACAGACACTTCACTTTGAATTCTAAGTTCTGGTTTGCAAAAATGTGCCAACCAAGAAAGGAGGGAAAAAAAAAAAAAAAAAAACAGCTAAAATAAAAAACTCACAACCTCAAGTATATGCAATATACATATAAAGATTTTTGTGTTCCCGTTGTTCCTGGCAACCATGCACCAGCCCATCACCCTGACTTTCAGGGTGGGCCAAGTACTATACCAACTGCTTTATGGACAGAGAAAGCACATGACTGCCTTGCCAGTCCTAAGACATTCTCTGTTGGCTCTAACTGTACCCACAGCTCTACAGAAGACAGGGCTTCCCAGACAGGCTGGCCACACACACACACACACACACACACACACACAATCCTCCCTTGTAGGATAAGCAGTACACCTAACTCACCAGGCTGCAGAACAGGCTGAACATTCTAGACCTGGTTACAAATTCGTCATTATACCTTCTCTTTGGAAGATAGTAATAAAGAGTGAACCATGGGCCCAGCAATGCTACACATAGGAGCCCCAACATCTCCATCACACATGATACCAAGGAATCTCCAGACGGTAAGCCGCACCAGAGTAGCTACGCTAGAAGTGACAGAACACTCCCAGGAGAGAGGGGTAAGGTCCCTGCTAAGGCTGAAGGAAACGGCATATGTGAACACTGGTAAGTAGAGGCTAAAGGGCTCAGCACATTTCCTTTGCCTCCAAGAAAAAAGAAAACACCTCCACTCACCACAAATTTCCTAGCACATCCATCATCCGTAACACAAATGAGAGGGCCCGAAGATCATTCAGAGTGCAGAGCACTAGTGAACACTCTGAGAACCTCCACAGACACCCACACTCTGGCACTTGGCAACAGAGAGTTAATGTCCTGGGGCCAAGGCTGCCTCTCAGCATGTTCAAATGTGAAATCATAATAAAGACACCGAGGGATTTAGTCATGAGCCCTCCCCTCCACCATCAGATGGAATGGCAAAAATGCAGAGTGCTGGGAGCCAGGACAATTTCATTTTCCTCCTAACCACGCAAAGAATTTGCATTTAAAATGAGCATCTCATCAGCCTTCCAAGAATGCTCATCACTGGCTGCTAGCATTAGCAAGAATAAAAGCGATCCCATGCTACCCTACTTTCTCATTATTGCAACCAAAGTACCTGGCAGCCTTGCAGGCCACAGGACTCTGCTGGTTAGTCGAATCTTATAAGGCAGGTGCCAGGACAACACACCAAGTGTAATCAGATGAATAAAAAGGAACACGGTGACAGCCCTGCCCTGGGGTCAGGCTTTACTTTCTCTACCATGTCACAAGGGCAAGCGAAGCGGCATCAGGAAACAAGAGATGCATATGAAAACCAAAGTGGAAGCCGACAGGAGGGAGAACTTTGAAGTCATCATTTCTTCAGCAGCTATTAGCTGCGTGACAACCAGCGCAGCGCAAACATTGGGAGCCTTACCCGGACAGCGGCTGGCTGGGTGGTGGGGGCAAGTGTGAGGCCACCCAGCCAAGAAGGCAATGGTGACGGACACTGGTAAGATCTCTAAGTTAACATCAGTGGTGCTTGGAATCCCATCTAAGAAGCAGAACCTATTTTGTGTGTAGGTGTGTATACGTGTTGGTGCACATGCGGATGCATGTGCACATCTGCCTGCATCTGTGTAGCCGCCACAGGTAAGCCTTCAGTGTTATTCTTCAGCGACTACCCGTGTCTCCTGTGACAGGGTCTCTCTGCTCTGGGGCTTTCAGATTTGTCTAGGCTGGCCGGCCAGGGAGCCGCAGAGATCTGCCTGTCTTTGCTTTCCCAGCACTGGGGTTACAAGTACAAACCACATGCCTCGTTTCTTCCCGTGGGCTCTGAGTGCTTGTGTGGGCAGCACTCCACTGACTGAAACAGCCTGACGTTTGAACTTGACTTTTGAAGGAAGAGGGACAGATGCAGAGGAGTGCACGAGAGCATTTTTCTCAACTCCTCAGTCACTAGGGGTCAGGGAAAGCAGAAGCCAGTGGGTGGTTACTCCATACCCAGGGTAGTTTTTAAGTTCATTAAATACTGAAGAGCCTCTTCTCTTTGATCACTAATAAAGCTGGAGGGTGAGAAGGAACACATGAAAGCCTCAAGGGAGATTCCGAGAAGAACAGTCAGAGCTGTGGGACTGGAGACGGGCAGGGGTCACCTCTACCCTAAAGGAGACACCCACCAACCTGTGTGATACAGGGGGACTTCTTGGGGATCGTCAGTAGTCTGGGTGCCTCCTCCCACATCCTCTACCCAGTGGAAGCACTCTGCACTGTGGTCAGGAAAAGTTTTCACTAGAGCTAGCTAGTTAGACGATTTCCTAACAGGAGTATCTTAATTAAGAATGAGACATAAGGCCTTACAAGGAGAAAAGAGCACTCTCCAGAGGGTGCTGGTCCAGCCTGCAGACTCCATGTGGTTCCCATTCCCAAGGCCTTTGCACCAGGTTGCCTTTAAGCTTGATCTTCTGGAAGGAAGTCCTATCCCAGCTGGCAAGAGCCACACCCATAGCTCAAGGACATTTCCTCTTGCTCAGAACTCTCAACCAGTCTATAGCATCCAACTCTCTCCCTCAAACAGGCTGTACCCTCTAGCTGAGTAGACTTACCCTGCATCCCCAAGGCATGCCACTGCATCATGTTCCAGAAGTCACCATCCAGACCTGGCGAATGTCCACCCTGGGAATCTAGACCCTTACACTATGGGGAAGATGAGTCAGGGGCTGACAACCAAGAACTCAGAGAGTGGGGCAGTGCCTGTTTCCAAAACACAGGGCCCTAACAACCTTCCAGCTAGCTCCCTTGAGTGAACAGCCCACAGGCTGCTTGGGAAGCCCAGGCTGGGGGCCAGCTATGAACGGCAAAGCCCAGGCCCGCTGCCTGGTCCTTTCCTGGAGGCTGCCATGAAATGATTCACTACGAAGCTGCTGCTAATGTCATTCTAGTGACAGTTAGTTTATCTAAAAACAAACAAAAAACTAATCAACAAACCAAAAAAAAAAAAATCCAGACGTAGTCCTTCATCTTGACATCTCCAAAGAAACGTTGACTGTAGGGCTGTGGCTGCACCTCCGTGGGTAAGGAGCTTGCCTCACTTGTATGATGCTCTGGATTCAAGCCCCAGTACTACAAACAACCCAGGCAGGCATAGTGGTACATGCCTGTAATCCCAGCCTTTGGGAGGTGGGGGAAGAACTCTGTGACTACAGAGCAAGTTTGAGGCCAGCCTTGGTTACATAAGACAGACGAACTGACGCGGAGGGAGCGGGGGAGGGGGCTGAATGCCCTGGGCTATGTCCGCACTTGGACAGAATCTGCCGACACTTAGACTTTTGGGTGCTGACTGTGTTACTCTTGAGCCAGCAGCAATGTCCCGCAGCACTCTGCATCCTCTCTCCCGCTGTGTGAACGGAGGACACCGTACCCGGCTGCTTGTTCTCGGCCTCCCTTCAATTCTTTAGACAGCCATGCAAAACCGGCTCCCTCTCCGCCAGCCACACTCAGTGTGTCTGGCTTCTTCTGTCATCCTAGGGCCTGGGGCAGACTGGGCCCGCAGTGGACTCTCCATAACTGTTTACTCACTCATTGAATGCACTGGAAAATGCAGAGCAAAATGCAAACCGGAAATGCCTTCCCTGGGTATAAGCCCACCACATCAAAAGGCATAGAGAGGATTATCCACATTAGCTACAGTCACCAGAGCTGAAGTTAGGGGCACTACCCCAGAGCCCGTGTACAGAAGGACAGCGCTATGGTTTGAACAGGAAATGCCCCCATAGGCTCGCATGGTTTCTGTTGTTTTTAGGTTTTGTTTTCTTTTTAATGTATTTATTTTAGGTGTATGGGTGTTTTGCTTGCATGTATGTCTGTGCATTATATGTGTGCAGTGACTGCAGAGGGCAGAAGAGGGTGTCAGATCCCCTGGAACTGGAGTTACAGATGGTTGGAAGCTGCTCCGTGCGGCTGGGAACAAACCCGAGTCCTCCAGAAGAGCAGCCCACGCTCCTAACGGTTCAGCCAGCTCTCCAACTCTTTGACATTTTGGCCCTATGTTTGGGAAGGCTGTGGAGGAAATGAGTCACTGGGAGCACGCCCTGGGGCTTCATAGACTGGCCCTACTTCCTGTTCACCCTTGGATTCCTGAATGTGGGTGCAATGTGGCCTACTTCCTGCTCCCTGAGCCATGAAGGAAAGTATCCAGAAGGAAAGTATCCATGAGCCAGAATGGAACTTCCTTTTTTTTTTTTTTTTTCTGAGACAGGGTCTCACTATGTAGCTCTGGCTGTCCTAGAACTCACTATGTAGTCTAGGCTGGCCTTGAACTCACAGAGATCCACCTGTCTCTGCCTTCCAAGTGCTGGGAGGTGTGCGCCACCACACCTGGCTTCAAACCTTCCTTCTTTAAGTTGCATCTTGACAGGTAACTAACCGATGGAAATATGAATGGCATGAAGGAAGGGGGCACCAGGGTGAGACTGACAGACCTAGAGCCCTCACGCCGAGGCAAACAGGGCCTCTAAATACCATGCTGGGATAAAGCAACTGGAAGCAGCAGGACTCGGTCAGTCTAGTCATAAAAACGTCAGGACGGTGGCTCTGGGAGAAGACACTGGCACTGGTAAGGGCCACTGCGGTTGGGTGCCAGTTTGCCCTCCTGATCTGTATGCAGGTTTCACTGCAAAACCTTGTTCTATGCAACTAAACATACTTGAAATGAGCATGGGGTCTGCTTCTTCCCAAAGCCAGTTACAGACTCCTGTCTGTCAAAGACAAGCGTTCCTACCCAGAAGCCCAATGTTACAGGGACACACGACCATGAGGTCAGTCGCCAGGTGGGCTTCCCGAGGCTGAAACCCACCAGGACACAAGCAACCTGCTATGATCTTTGCAGCCCCTGAAAGAAACCTGGGTCCTAATCAGTGTTAATGGGGACAGAAATGGGATGGCGATGTTACTAATGCTGCTATCTGAAGCAGATACGGCACTTTTCCCCTTCTTTTTTTGAGACAAGCGTCTTGGGCACCTCCGGCCAGCCTCAAACTCACTATGTAGCCATGGAAGATCTCAAATTTCTACTTCTCCTGCCTTCACTCACAAGTGCCAGGATTCCAAGTGTGTGCCACCTTTCCTTGTTTATCCAGTTCTGAGGTTAGAACTTTGCACATGCTAGGACAACACTCTGCCAACTGAGTCACAGCCTCTGCCCCTGATGGAGGAGCACTTCAGTAGGACCCTGAAACCTAACTCTGTCCATGAACGTCTGACTAAAGGTCTTACATCACAGCAGAGGGAGAGGTTGGCAGGCAGGAGTGACCGACTGCTTCTACTACGTTTGTAATCTCTCAGATATTTGGTGAAAATGGATCACTTTTTAAGTATACTTAGTTCTTTTACATGTATGTGTAGGGGCCTGCATGTATGTATGTGCACAGGTGTGCAGTGCCAGAGGGTCAGAAGAGGGCATCAGATCTTGAGTCACAGACAGAGAGTTGGGAGCTACTACGTGATGGCTGGGAACAGTCCCTGGGTCCTCTGTAAGAGCAGTAAGTGCTCATAACTGCTGGGTCATCTCTCCAGGCTCCAATGTCTTAAACCAGGTTTCTCTCTCAAACAGGACAAATGGAAGAACAGCAATAGCCTATCAGCGTGGTCCACAGCTTAGCACCTAACACAGCTATGTAGTCTTAGGCCAACCGTGATTTGAAGGTCCTGAACTAGGTTAGCACCTTAGGGAGCAGAGGAAGGAAAATGGAGCCTGCCCTGGGACACCAAAGGCTCAACCCAGTCAGCGACAGGTTTTTATCTCCCTTAGAGCCAACAGGCCAAAAAATGCAAGACTTAACTGGACCACTGTCTTCCTGTTAACTGAGAAATAGACCTGGATTTGTGCAGCCCGGCACACCTGTGCACACTCATTTGCACACTGATGTGTACACGTGTACACACACGTAATCTCACCTCCAACCCTGTCAATGTTTTCTCAATTGTAAACTCATATTATGGGGCAGACAAACAGTATAAAGTTATATGGGTACTGGTGTCTCGAATGTGCCATCCTATTAAATAAGGTATTGATATTTATCATCTTTTGTCATTCTACTTGTTTCTGCCCTATGAGGTAGAAAGAGCAGATTAACCGATTTCAAAATTCACGTTTTCAGGGAAACTGGAGTTCACCACTTTCCAATTATATCCCAAGCTGTGTGGATCAGCAAACCTTAAGAATTGTGGTGTCACTATGACGGCCTTCTGTCATGTCCACTAGTCACAAGACAAAAGGAACAGAAGTGACAGAGGATTGCAGAAGGATTCACTGTTAAATAGGCTGAGGACCTGAGGATGACAGAGCCATCCCAACCATGCTCCACCCTAGAGTTATTGCCTGCGGAGTCTCTCCACCTCCTACAGGCTGAGACATCTCGTAAATGGCACCAAATAACACAACCTGGGCTGGGGAGATGGCCCAGTGGGCAAAATGCTTGCTGCTGCAAATGTGAGGACCTGAATTCGGATTCCCAGTTGTGGTAGTTTGAATGTAATTGGCCCCATTAGCATTTTGCATTATGATATTATTAAAAACTTACGGGGGACAGGGAGTAGAATGTGATTGGCCCCCGTAACTTTATAGGAAGAGGCACTATTAGGAGGCATGGCTTTGTTGGAGCAGGTATGGACTTGTTGGAGGAACTGTGTCACTTGTGGGGTGGGCTTTGAGGTTTCATAAGATACTCAAGAGACTGTCCAGTGTCACAATTCACTTCCTGTTGCCTTCTGATCAAGATGTAGACAGCACCATGTCTGCCTGAACACCACCATGCTCCCCGCCATGATGATAATGGACTGAACCTTTGAAACTGTAAGCCAGCCTCAATTAAATGATTTCCTTTATAAGAGTTGCAGTGGTCATGGTGTCTCTTCACAGCTATAGAAACCCTAACTAAGACAGCAGTGTTTTAAAAAGTCTGGCTAAATTGATGATCTCCAGGTTCGGTGAGACTCTGCCCCAGAAAATACAGGTGGAGACTGAAGACACTAGACGTTGACCTTTAGCCTACACACACACACACACACACACACACACACACACACACACACACACACACACTCATGCATCTATGCACATACAAAACCCAAGATACAACACAACCAACCAGGTCACTGTCTTCAACTCACAGTCCATCTCTAGCTGAGAACTATAAATCAGAAATACACCAAGCACCAGGCCCCCAACATAAATGATTCAAAGCTCGCTACTTTTTTTTTAAAGGTGTATTTTATTTTTAATTATGTGTCTATGGGCATGTGTGGAGGGGGTATGTGTATGTGTGAGGGCGGGTGCCTGTGGAGTCCAGAAAAGGGCATCAGACAGGCAGCTGTGAGTCACTGATGTGAGTGCTGGGAACTGAACTCGAGTCCTCCGTGACAGGCCTCACTCTCAGCCACTGGGCCATCTCCCCAGCCCTGCAAACTTGCTACTTTTAATCCCATGTTGAGAAGTCAGAGGAAGGCAGCAGAATGACCTTGCCTGACACACAGCGTGAAGGGACACTGGGAAAAGGCCCGAGCACAAGAGCCAGCTTTGTCCCCATATCCGCCATCACTGCATAAGCTCTTACTGTGACCAAGATGCCAGCATGGTTGCAGAGAAGCAGCTGGCCCATAAAGGCACCATTGTTGACTCACACAGGCAAGATTTCCACATCCCAAGGCAGGGAAGCCAAGGCCAACAACACTAGGTAAGAAACAGTTGGACCGACCCGACTGTCACACCAACGCCACTGAGCGCAACTGCTTTTTCCACTTTCTGGCAAAGTCGCTTCCAAAACATACCAAATTTTCAAAGCATGGCTAATCACACAAGAGAGTTGAGTTGGGCTCTCATGGGCCACACAAAAGAAAAACACAGCAGGAACCTGATCAGGTGTCAACCACAATGAAGAAGAGACTGCTGGAAGCCAAGCTGTGAAGGACAGAAAAGGTGACATGGCCACCATCCCTGTCATCCTTCATCTGCCAACACACTCACACACACACCACACCACACTCATACACACACCACACTCACAACACACTCACACACAACACACACTCACACACAACATACACACAACACACTCACACACAACACACACTCACATACAACATACACACAACACACTCACACATACACACACACACACACACACACACACACACACACACACACACACACACACAACACACATGAGCAAGCATTCACCTATACATCCCTTCCCTTTGTCAGTCCCCTCAACATATCAGAGCTCTATAGTCAGCAGGTGAAGAGAAACCCTAACACATACCAGTCAATTTCCAACCCCTTCTAAGCTCTTTACTGCTGTCCCAGAAGGAATTCCTGGTCTTGGGACAATGTTCTTCAAAGTCAGCAGAAGTCTGACCCCCAGGAAGAAGGGACCAGCTCTGCTATAGCACCAATAATCCCGACCTTAAAGAAATGAAAGCTGGACCAAGCGAGAATCCTGGGCAGTTAATAGTGTATGGTGACCTGAGTTCAATCCCAGAGACCCACATTGAAAAACCCCAACAGAGTAGTGAGCACCTGTAATCCCAGCGCTCCTACCATAAGAAGGAAAGTGGAGACAAGAGAGTCACACACAAACTCACAGGCCAGCTAGCCTGAGTACATACCACAGCTGAAACAAGAGATCCTGCCTCAGTGGGGTGGGAGGAGAGAAGTGACTTCCAAAAAGATGTCCTCTCACCTCCAGGTGCACACTGTGGCACACACGAAGACACACAAGAATCTGCAATTCATCACCAGGAAAGCAAATGCTGGTGAGGACATGGACAAAAAAGGACCCTTATACTGCAACTGGGAATGTAAATCAGTCCAGCCACCATGGAAACCAGCATGGAGGCTCCTCAAGAAAAATAGAATATACCACATGACTCAGATACACCAAGCCTGGCTGTTCACCCAAAAGATTTTAAGTCAAGACATCACAGAGATGCTTGCAATCAATGTTTGCTGCAGCAGTATGCACAACAGCTAATTTAAGGAACCAACCTAGGAGCTAGGTGAGGGTGGCACAGCCCTCCTTTAATCCCAGCACTCTGGAGACAGAGACAGGTGGATCTCTGTGAGTTTGAGGCCAGCCTGGTCTACAGAGTAAGTCCAGGACAGGCAGGGCTGTTACACAGAGAAACCCTGTACCAAACAAACAAACAAAAAAAGAACCTGTCTAGGTGTCTGTTTAGGGTGGTTTAAATGTAACTGGCCCCCATAATCTCATAGGGAGTGGCATTATTAGGAGGTGTGGCTTTGTTGGAGTTGGTATGGCCTTGGTGGAAGAAGTGTGTCACAGTGGGGGTGGGCTTTGAGGTTTCCTATGCTCAGGATACTGCCCAGTGCCTCAGTCCATCTCCTGTTGCCTGCAAGATGTAGAACTCTCAGCTACTACTCTGGCACCATGTCTGCCTGCATGCCACCATGCTCCCCATCATGATGATAATGGACTGAACCTCTGAAACTGTAAGCTGCCACCTCAATTAAATGTTTCCATCATAAGAGTTGCTGTGGTCATGATGTCTCTTCACAGCAATAGAAACCCTGACTCAAGACTGTGCTCATCAATAAAGAAATGGATAAAGAAAAAGCAGTATACGTGCATAATCAAAATTTTTTTCCAGCTATCAAAAATGAAGTTGCAGGAATAGTGTGGCAGGAAAATGGAGACAACTGGAGACAATATTAAGTGAGTTAAGTCAGTTGTAGGAACACAAGTATCACACTTCCTGCTATTTGTGTGTCCTAGACTTAACAGACACACAAAATCATCTATGTACCAAGGGCAGGAAAGCAGATGTGAAATCATCTGGGGAAGGAAGAGGACAAATGGGAGGAGGGCAGTGAAGTAGAGGGGTGCTTAAAATACATTACAAATTTCCATATGAACTGGTGTGTTAAAAACTAAAAGGAAAAACATATAGCGCATGATGGTTAAGAACCCCTGCTGTGCTGAACTATTTGCCTCCCCCAATTCCTGCTGAAGCTCTGATCCCCAGTGTGGGACGCTAAGAGATGAGGTCTCTAATAGGAAGTTCAGATGAGGCCAGGAGGGTGGGGGACATCACAATGAAATTAGTGGTCTGACATTAAAAGACTGGTAAAATGCCGAAGTATTTGCTGTCTCTGTCGCAGGAGGCCACAGGAAGCAGTCTGCAGGCCAACATCAGGGTCCTCACCAGAGCCAAACACCAGCACTCTGACCTCAGGGCCCAGTCTCTGAAGCCATGAGGAAATACATTGCTGCTGTATGTCCATGGAGTTTTGTTACAGCAGGCTGCGCTGACTAATACAAACCCCATGAAGACTGCTCTTGACCAGGGACAGACAATGTCAAGGGCAAGTGAGGCAAGCATTCATAGGCTGTGAAAATTAGCCAGTCATGCACAATGTCCAACTGTCAGGTCCTTTCCCAGGCCCCAGCTGGCTAACCCAGTGCCAGCATGTCAAAAGAGCCCAGCATTGCAGGAGCAAAGAGCCAGAAGAAAGTAAGATGCTCAGCAGTTCCAGAATTGGCCCAGAAGCCCTTGAACGTGTGCGCTCTCCCAGGGAGCTCAGAGCCTAGTCGCCCGAGACAATCTAAACTTAGCCAGAGAAAGAATCTGCTCAGCTCTGCCTGTCTCCTGCGTGGTCCAGTGTCACTACCCCCTTTGGCCATAACTTGTCTTGGGAGTGCTATAAATACCACCTGAGTGATGAATACCAGGAATGGTTTCAGGGTTTCCAGGCACTGGCTTTGTGATAGGGGTGTCAAATTCAAAGTCTCCTGCACAAGATGCCGACCCAGAGAACACATAAATCCCCTGGGGCCCCACCCTGCCACAGCTCTACTGATCCACATTGCTAACAGGGAGCTCTGGGGCGGAAGATGTTGGAGATGACAGGAAAGGACAGAGTAGAGGCTGGAGGGGAGGTAACTCAGGTGGGAGGGTGTTTGCCTTGCAAGCACCGGACCTGAGTTTGAAACCAGAGTCTACGTTTGCTCATTCATTCATTCGTTTGTTTGTGGTAGGGTCTCACTATGCAGTCAAGGCTGGCCTGGAACTCACTATGTAGACATAGCTGGCCCTGGCCTCAGAGATATCCACCTGTCTCTTGCTTCCTGAGTGGTGGGAGGACCAAAGGCATGCCCAGTTAGAATCTTTGCGGTCTGGGTTCGGTTTGAGTTGGACTGGTTTTTAAAGCTGGCATGGTAGTATAAATGTGCAATTCCAGCGCTAGAAGGAAAGAAACAGGCAGGTCTCTGGGGCTCATAGGCCAGGGCAGTGAGAGGCCTTGTCAACCCCCAAAATGGTAGATGACATCTAAAATACAACACCTGAGAAGGTCCGCTGGCCTCTTATGCGACATACAAGTGCACTCACTCGCACAAACCCACAAAGGACAAAAGGAGTTTCAGTCCTCTGAGAATACTAGAAATAACTTAGAGCTCTGAAGGAAGGAGCCACAGAAAGGAAGGCAGACCTGGGGTTATTACTCTCCCTGGTGGCTGTGCCCAAGGGATTCCGAATAGGTGTTTATGGAATAAACTTAAGGTCTGTAGGTTTCAAGGGGACAAAGGTCTGCTTCCCTAATATGGAGGAGAAGGCCAGCTAGACCCCTTCACCTGGGAAGTAAAGGTGAGAGGGAAGAGGGGGTGGGCTCTGCAGAGGGGCCCTAGGAAACGTAAATATGAGAAGAGGCCAGGAGGCAGGACCCAGGAGGAAGGCTAGTACACAGCAGCCAGAGGTAACACAGAGAAAGGGTGCCATGAGGGTGTTAACCAGTGAACCTCAAAGGGCACCCATGAACCCAAGGGGAGGCCTGGACACCCAAGGGCTGTTAGAAGCCTTCCAGAACGGTGCTCTAGTACAACAGCCACTGTAGGAACCTGAGTAGGGACCAGAGGCACAGGCCATTCTAAATTTATCCAGGGACACCTCACAACCAACCCTGGGTGTGCAGGTAAGAACATGAACCAATCACTCCCCATACAGCTACAGCCACATCTGTAACAACCTCTGCCAGTCTGCCCTCCCAGAACCTTCCCATCGGTCTTTGTGCCTTCAGGCTCTCCCCTCTCCTATTGGCTATCTGATATCTTCACACCCCTGTTGGGACCTGCAGCTCCATGAACCCCTTTCCACGGTCCTCATCATGTCATCTCCTTATGAGGACATCATGTCATCTCCTTATGGGGACATCATGTCATCTCCTTATGGGGACACACCTCCTGACTCATAAACAGCAGCCTTTCCTTTCCCAATCAAACCCCAGCCTACTGTGGCACACACGGTGAGGGCTTCCTGGTCCACACTTCCTGATTCCGATCCAGTAAGTAAAGTGATAAGTCTAGTAAGGGGTGTCCTGCAAAACGTTGTTTCAATTAAAAAGATTTTTTTTTTTCTTTAAAAGGGTTGATGAGATAGCTCCGTGGGTAAAGGCACTTGTCACGCGAACTTGACGGTCTGAATTCAATCCCTGGAACCCATGTAAAGGTAGAAAGGGAGAAGCCACTCCACAGAGCTGTCTTCAGACTTCCACACAGGCACTGGGGCATGCACCCCACCCACCCACCTCCACACACAACAGTAATAACCAAAATAAAGCTGGGAAGTTCTTTTTCTCCCTCCTTGACCCAAATTGCTTGCACCCCTTCACAGACGCATCAGGGAAGACTGCCTCCTTGTACAAGGGCCTAGACAGCAAGAAAAGCACCAGTTTAACCAGTCCTCACCTGACACAGTCAGTCAGAAGAAGGCAGGCCTTGGGAAGAACGCCCCGCAAGCCATTTCCTCGGGTCCTTATCCCAAGGAATGCGCTCCTTCCTAGGCTGCTCTGAGTCACTCCAGGCTGAGGGAAGCCAACTTTCCAGCGACTGCGCCAAACCTTTACTGTGGTACCCTCCACCATCTCCATGGCTTCTCCTACCCCTAGTAGCAAGGTGAAGTCCATGGTAACAAGTCAGGGGGGACTGGGGGGAAGCAGAGGTGGTGGGAGGGAGTAGGCACCCAGCTTCCTGAGGAGGCACCCACCAGAAACCTCACACCTATTGACCACACCTGCTCATCTACCTCGTGAGGATATTCCCGCCCAGCATCATGAAACGTTCATTCAGGCCACGTGACCAAAGACTCGAAGGTCCCCAGCTATCCCTCATCCCAGCCCAGCCAGCCGAGCCTTTGGAGAATCTAGACACCAGAGTCATTGGCCAATGAAGTATTACAGCCAGTACACAGGGAAGCAGTGGAAGCCCACCCTCGGAGTCCCAAGGGCCCCTTCTTTTTCCCCCTTCGCACAAGCATTTCCTGAGACTGCTCTATACAGCGGCGTCAGTAGAAAGGGAACATCCAGAGTGAAGCAGACTTGAGTCAGTCCCTCAGGGAACAAAAAGGACAAACCAAGCCACAAATTGTTGGGTCTTCAAAACCCCAACAGAAAGCGTATCTGTCCCCGTTCTGGGGGGAAGTGGGGATGCATCCATCTCCTCTGGCCCACAGAGGCCCTCTGGGCAGGACACCCACTCACATCCTCCACCAGCTACTGTGGGGGTCAGTGTCTGGTAGCCATGGATGGGCCCAGCCAGGGAAGAAAAGCAGCCAACAGCTGATATTTCGACCTTTCTCCCAGCAGCTGTAAGAAAGGGCTTCCACTGCAGAGACCTCAGGGTATCATTTTCTAGCCTCCCAAACACTCCAGAGAAAGCAGCAGCCAGCGGTCAGCCTCAGACCCTGAACCAAAGGAGAATGTGCTAGAGGAGCATGGTCCCACGGAAAACACAGGAAATGGGTGGCTCAAGTCTGGCCTTCCTCACTCAACACAGACATCTTCGAATTCTCACATGGGAATCTGACTGAAGACACCACCATAAAAATAAATAAACAAGAGCTGGGCGGTGGTGGTGCATGCCTTTAATCCCAGCACTCGGGAGGCAGAGCCAGGCGGATCTCTGAGTTCGAAGCCAGCCTGGTCTACAGAGTGAGATCCAAGACAGGCACCAAAACTACACAGAGAAACCCCATCTTGAAAAACCAAAAATAAATAAATTAATTAATTAATTAAAAATAAAGATAGATAGATAGATAGATAGATAGATAGATAGATAGATAGATAGATAGATAGACAGACAGACAAAATGAATTTCAGGGCAGTTATTGCTAACCAAAGAAAAGGGCTGTGTGTGTGCATGTGTGTGCGTGCGTGCGTGCGTGCGTGCGTGCATGCATGCGTGTGCGCTTAGAATCAAAGTTCAACTATTCACTCTCCATAAAGCCACCTCTTAGCTGCTGGCACTCTCGGTCAACGGAATAAACCACAGCCAGAAGAAGAGCCACAGCAGCCTGCCCATCCAAACCTCCCTCTCTGGGTTTCTGCCCCAGTCAGGTACGAAGGCATCTGCACAGACATTAAGGACTCTATGTTAGCGCCCCTACTCTCACACCTGCCAAACATAGATCACACTGTTACAGCGGTTGAGTGTGGGTGTGAAAAGAGAGGCATCAAGACTGACATCTGAAGAACGCAGCTGGCAGAGAGACACTGGGAGCCCATCCTTACCTGGGCTCCACGTGGCAAACAGAGCATGTGCAAAGGCATCGTAGGAGGAGGCGGGTG